TGGCTCGTTCATTGATCTACGTGGTTTGTTCGGGGCTTAAAAGCATTTTGCCATTAGAAAAGATGTCCGTGGAAACTCAAACTTTTAATCAGCTAAGTATAAGATGCTGGGAAGGTCTGGGGAGAACAAGGAGCGACCAACTGTAAATCTTGTGGAGTTTGTTTCAGTGCGTTGTACTGCTTTTAATGTTTCATTAAATATTGAGGATGATACGGCTGTACTCCATTGTATGTAAAAGGTCTAGAAATAGAGGGTAGCTACTTTTGAAAAGCGTATCCAAACATGGATTCTTTTTCTTCTTTCTTTTTTTTCTTTCTTTCTTAGTAATTTTTAAAATGTCAGTAGACTGGAAGGCAGGCCTGCGTCTCCTAAGAGGCTGAGTGAAGTCGATGCTACCTGGCCATGAGTTAGTTAATTAAAGCTTTATTTTTCTTATGCCATTGTGTAATAGTCTGCTCTCTGAAAAAATTTCCTTTGTGATCAAAGGACAGCAACAAAAGAAATCCCTAAAATGAAACTTTGGACACCCAGTTAGGATACTGAAAAAAAAAAAAATCTGTAGTGTGACCTCATAGCCACAGATGAGCAGTTTCAGTCAATAAACTAACATCTTCTAAGGAAGCAAGAAAAAGTCAGGGACACACATACAGACACATGCATACGCCACTGTGTACACATACACACGCATTGTACTTCTCTGGCAAATTTAACACATGGGACATTTGGCGTGTGCCTGTGTGTGTCTGTGCGCGGTGAAGTGCCATAGGGGAGGCTGACTTGTCCACACTTTGGGTTTGAAACACGTTGATCTGGCTGCAGTTCTGAAAGGATAAGTTCCATTTCCTTGCTAATAAAATTACATTCCCGTTAATGTTTATAGCCAGACTGCTGCATTATATAAATTAACTAATCGTCAAAACTGAGAATCAGGCTGGTTTGAGTTGCAGTGACACCAGAGCCACTCAATATGATTATAGCCTTGTCATTTGTAACAGGGTTACCTCTCATTTGTTTGCTCTGTTGGTTCTTTCACTGTGTCACGTAGATTTTTTGCATAAGATGTAGCCTTTTCTAATTTTATATTTTGGAGCAATTTTTATCGCTTTTTCTCTTTCTTCCTTCCAAGGTCGATCCAAATTGCATTTTACCTTTGTGACCATTTAGTGTATATTGTTGCTGTTGCAGCAGCAGCCCGTCACTAGCTTGACTGCAATATTGCCTATAGCTTTAACTGTTTGGGGGATTGGGGGACGCAGACTGATGCTATTCCTCAAAACCTGGCAAGCCAAGGACATGAAACGATTGATGGTGTTTTTTTGAAAGAACAATAGCCTCGAGTATTAGAGGAGAAATATTGGACGTTCCATCCCTTGTACTTGCGTAGCTTACGTTTTGCTAGTCTTTTTTCTCCTTTTTACTCTTTTTTTTTTTTTTTTACTTAATAAAATATGCTTTTTGAGGAAATTGTACAGTGGCTTTTTTTTTCCTGATGCTTTAAAAAATAAATTAAACCCATTTTTATAACCGGTATAAAATTATCAACCTTTTGAAAAGTCATGTGTGTCTGTCTTTGCACACATGCCATATTACTGTAAGGACAAGAAATTTCCCAATCGGTAATATATTTTATGACATCAATTTTTTTTCTCTCTTTCCACAGTTAAATGTATGCATAAAACCTAAATAATAAGCATGTACACACACACATATACACACACGCACAAGTTTTTCTCTTCTATAGACCTTAAGAGTTCAGAGTAGTGCAGACAGGCAGCATCTGGATTTTGTTACCTTAAAGCTAGCCATCAGCTTCTGGGACATTTTAAAGCAGTTAGATCCATTGTATGTCTAAAGCTAATATTCGGGTAATCAAATAACATTGTGGTGGAGAGCTATATCTTTTGTCATGCCTATCAGAGCTACATATACTAACAAAACCGCTGAATGATTCCAACTGTACGGTGAACTTCAACTTTTTATTTTCTCGAAACTGTCTTTTGTACTAAACATTGTGGAATTCAGCCCCACAGAAAGAATGTCTTTTTAGGTTTACTCCTATGCACCGAAGGGGGTGCATTCATTCAAAATTGAGAATTAATAATTAGGCTGTCTTGTGGCATTTATGTTCAGCTTGTGAAACACTGAACGACAGCACGTTGAACAGGCAAAGTTATGAAATTTGTGTTCCCCAATATATTTGAGTGAGGTGTTTCCTTTGCTTCGCTTCTGTTGTGAAGTTGTTTTGTTGTTCCTTAAAAAGTACCATATTATCGTGCATCATATCTTTCTCATGGGGGAGTACAGAGCTGCATAGGATTTGTGTGTGCAATCTGTGTTTGTATCTTCCAGTGTAGCTAGCACATTGTTGTGCAGAAATGGTGTAAATGAATAGCTATACGGGCAATAGAATTATAAATAGAAAAATGAATTCCATATGTTTGTGTGATTGACTTGAGTTTTTGAAATGTTTCGTGGTCTTTTGTGGAACATGAAGCACACACTCTGATTATTCAATTTACTTGTGCTCCTTAATTATCGGATGCCACCACTGAAGTTAAAACTTTAATTGCAGGTTTTGGCAAAACCGATGTCATCCAAAACTTAAAAAAAAATAAATTCAACTTTTAAAAGACAATTACAAAGTACTTAACATGTGTCTTAAGGACCAGCAGAGAGTTGGAGGGAAAGCATAACTTTAGTTTTCTCCTTCTGGTGTGACACTGACAACTGCAGTTTGGAAGTAGAGTTTGAACTTCTTCAGGCAGATCCTGAGAGCAGAGTCTGGTTGTTCCAAGAGCGCTGTGGATCTGTTTCAAAACGAACATTTTTCTGTTACTGTTGTAAATTAAGGGTACTCTCATGTTCTTGTTGCAAATATTTCAAGGAGATAGTTTCAGTTCATGTATATCTGATGAGAATCTACAGCAGTCTTTATTTTATTTTTGGCTATTAGGTAAACTTCCTTAGTTGCATCGTTGTTGATGGCATAAGTACGAAAACAACTGGTTTACAAAAGTGCGTTGTAAATAGTCGCTTACAGAATGATAACGATGCCAAATCTTGCATAGAAGTCTGAATTTATTTCTGTAGTTTTTTGCTTACCACAGCAAATTCTTTTCTCTTTGCCCTTTTGCACAATGGAAAACAAAACTGAGCACCATTAAATTTCATGTAATGATATGAAAAGAAAAAAAAAATTAACCTAAGCCATTTGAATATATTTGAAAGAGTCCCTTTGATTTAATTGACGCTATGTCTTATCTTTGTCCTCTGCGGCTTATGATTAGACCTAGAGCTGGGATAACCTCTTTCAGCAAACAGTCTACTGAAAAAAATTGACTCATTTGGGTAGAAAGAAGAAGATGTCGCAGTTACCTGCAGACACGAATTGTTTGTTTTCCAC